GAGAGAATTCACCAGAGACAGAGTGGGAACAGAACAGGCATATTGACTGAAGTACACTGCTGCGGGGAGCAGGAGGTGAGTCAGGAGAGGTCTGCTGTGCCATGTGGGTTCTCCCTGGCTAGCTGGGAGATCGAATTTGTGCTGCAGAGGCTGTGGATAACTTCATAGGTTGCATCTTAACCCCTTGCACCACCAAGAAGGCCCTAATTTTTAAAACTGCAGTACACTTTAAAATCTTTGCTCTACCTTGGGCTTCTGTAGGTCCACAAGGGGTTAAATCTCAGCACTACCAAGCTATCACCAGCCACTGCAGCACAAGTTCGATGCCGGGCCAGGTTGCTAAACCCATATTGCACAGCAGACCTCTCTGTTTCTACCTGCTGCTCCCCTCAGCAGTTTTCTTTCTTTCTTTCTTTTTTTTTTTTTAAGATTTATTTATATAAGAGCCGGGGGTACAGGCCAGATGCGCAGGAGGGTAAGAGGACTCACCAGAGACAGAGCAGGGAACAGAACAGGCAGACTGCTGAAATACACTGCTGAGGAGAGCAGCAGGCCAGACAGGAGAGGTCTGCTCGCCATGTGGTTGCTCCAAGCTGGCGGGGATGGAGGGGCACTGCAGAGGCTGTGGACAACTTCACAGTGCTGTGCTCAACCACCTGCGCCACCAGAGAGGCCCCCTCAGCAGTGTAATTCAATTAACCTGCCTTTTCTGCTCCCCACTGTCTCTAGTGAATCCTCTTGACCCCCACATCTCTGGCTTACCCCAGCTCTTGTATGCATTAATAAATAAAATACATCTCTTAAAAAAAATCTTTGCTCTATCTCACAAATCTGGGTGTGGAGAACTGGAGAGGGGCAAGTGTGGGAGCTAGTACTGTAGTCCAGCTGTGAGAGGAAAGAGGGTATGTGTAAGTATGGGTGGTGGTAGTTAAGGGTCCAAGATATATTTTGAAGGTATTGCTGTCAGAGCTGGATGTGGGTTGAGAGATGAATTATGAGTCAAGGATGCTTCCAGGAAGAGAGCTGCCATTCTGAGTTGGGTGAAATATTTCTGGGGAAAGATTGTATGGTAGAGTTGGAGGCATTTGGTTGGGAGAGAAGTTGGAGACGTGAGTCGGGAGGCATCTGGATAGAGATGGCATCGGAAGTCATGAAACTAGAGCACCAATAGAATGAGAGCAGGTAGAGAATAAGAGAAGACTGCATCTAGGAGGAAGGGACTCCAATAACTGGGAGAAGAGGAGGAACCAGCAAAGGAGACTGAAAAGGAGATAGGAAGCAACTCAAGAGTGGTTTCCTGTACCTCTAGTTTAGAAGATGTTTCACGGAGGAGTAATCCACTGTGGAAATGGATCAAGGAAATGGAGGCTTCAGAAGTAACTCTGGGGTTTAACAAAATGGAGGCCACTGTGGCATCAACAAAGACAATTTTATTGGAGAGTGAAGCCTGGGTGATTAGGCAGTGAGGAATGGGGTAGGATTCAGAGCACCATTGTAGGAGTCAGTCTTAGGTAGTTGATAGAGTCACAGGAGGGATATAGGTATGCGGGTAAATGAGGTGATGCAAACTTGTGAGTTTACTCTCCCACGATGATTTTCTCAGTGAAACAGGAGGCAAAGTCATTAGCAATGAGTGACCAGGGAGAATGAAGTGATGGTAGGTTAACAGAATGGAAAAATATGACATAATTCTCTATGATTATGGGCAGGACAAGATCAAGGGTTTTTAAAAAAATTATATATATATTTTACATCATTCTTCATTTTTATACAATGCATGCTTTCTCCACTCAGTTGTAGTCCCCGATAAATTCCCACCGCCAACTCACCCGGGTACCATAACCATAGTCCCTTGTGCTCTTCCCACCCCGGTTTTGAAGATCAAGGGTATTCGAATCCAAGTTGAATAGCAAGTGGGAGAGTTACATTTTCTTTAGCGAGATTCGACCCTCTAGGCACTCCGTAGTTCGCGTCCGTTTCCTTGGAGACCGAGACCGGAAAGAAAGCGTCCAGTTTCTGGGAAGTTCGAGTGGCCTAGGGGACCGCGCGATTCATGCTGAGATAAGGAAATCGGAGAAGCCAAATAAATAGGCATCCCAAGAGACCAGGGCCTCACGGACTCACGACTCGTCTTCCCTTTTCTCCAATGGCGCTGGTCGTGCAGAAGTAGGTGAAAAATAGCATGGGTGGGGTGGGGCGGGCGGGCAATGGTGCGCATGCGTGATTGCCCCCCCCGCCTCCGCTGGGTCCCTGCGGCGAGGTCTTCCCGCGGTCTTTGGCCCCGCCCACCACGGCCTTATATAGCTAGCTCCGCCCCCTTCATGCTCCAGCTGCAGGTCTGTCCTCGTCCTTGGTAAACTGCGGTTTTGGGTTGGAAACCCCACGTCTGTTTTTCACCATTGCTGCTTGTGGTCCCAATGGGGTTGGGGATTATGGACCTTCTTTTCCTCCCCGACTCTTTACAGGCCGAGTCACTATAGCATTCGCGCCTCAAACCACAAGTTCCACAAGGATCTGGTGAGTCAGAAGGGGATGGGGGCTCATCACTTTTGTCCTCCTGTGTCACACCCCCACGCTTGGGACTGCCCTGGCTGATAAGAGCGTGGAGACCTGAAGTCCAGACCCAGCTGTTCCATTTGCTGTGGGACACAGGACATGTTTCTGAACCCCAGTTTGCTCATAGCTTTATCAGAATACAAACGTATGTTAGACTGCTTTCTTACTTGTCTTTCTTTGCTGCTCTCATTCCCTATGGGTTCTTTTACATGCTTTCTTTTTCTCTCAGTTCTTAACATCTCAGAGCCTGTATGTGTTTAGTTATTCTGAGTGGCTGATAAAGTGACAACTAACATTTATGGGGTACTTATCACATATTTTGCAATTCCTGTGTTGGAATTCTTGCACCAACCCATGGAGTAGGTTTTATTATTGGATCCAGTTTACAGATCAGAAAATTGAGGCTCAGAGAGGTATCTGTGACTTGCTCACGGTCACTGATGTCTGTTAGGGGTGAAGCTGATGCCTGCAAAATTTGAACCCATCAGTTGTGTGACTGATTGTATTATGTCTGTTAGGCCTATGTTCCATGGCAGCGGTCCAACCAGAAAACCAAGCCATCTGCTCTTCCTCCAGTCCAGCAAGCCAACGGCCACAAGAAAGGCAAAATGAAGTCTTTCACTAGCATTCAACCAGGTGGGCAGAGGCATGTCGGGGACTGGTGGTGGGGTTGGGGTCAGGACAAATTACCCATTTATTTGAGGGTAGGCTAACCCCTAAAACAACTCCCAGATTTCAAGTATTAATACACATTAATAAAAAGAAAAGAGGGAGTTGAATTGTATCTTTAAAAGAACTTTTCCTGCTCTAGTGTCTTATTTTGTGTGTGGTCCTGAGCCCAAGAGAGAGATAATGGTTAAATTGAGACTATATTTTTCAAAACCATCATTTTCCCCTAGAAATGATGGTTTATTTCTCATTTCTGTCAGAGTACATTCGTGGATCTGCAAAGAGTAGGTAATCTTTTCCACGTGATCATTCAGGGATCCAGGCTTCTTCAACCTGTAGCTCATTTTGTAAGATCTTGAAGTCCTCTGCTTAATAGTTGTGTACCCAGCTGGCAGAGAAGGAAAGGAGAGAACAAGAATATAGATGATTTTGTATTTAGTTTTTGGGGGTGCCCAGACTTGTAGCCGCACATATCATTCCCACTCATACTCCAGTGGCCATGACTCAGACACATGACCTGAACACAATGGAAGATGAGAAATGTATTCCAGCTTTGTGTCCAGGAGGAAAATAAATCAGGGTTTGATGAATTCAGAATAATCTCTGCCACATCATCCTCATGCTTTCCAGGGGGTTCTGAGGCCTCAGCCCAGACATAGGTTCAAATCTTGGCTCTGCCATTTACTCACTTGGGGAGGTCATTGATCTCTCTGATCTTTAGTTTTCTCAATTGTAAAACGAGTACACTAATATCTCATAGGGCTGTAAGAATTAAATGAGATCTATGATGTAAAGCCTCATTAGTCAACACTATCAGACTCAGTGTTCCTAAATAACAAATATTTTGTACTATTACTTAGTGTCCTAAATTAGCTTCATAGATTATATAACTTACCTATTTTTTTGATTACAAAAAAAGAAAAAAAACAACAAAAACCAAAATAATACCCTAATTGTAAAGGAATAATAAGAGGAAAATTGTTTGTCACTAAATAATATATATTTCTGTATGCAAATGCTTAGGTTGGGCTCCACTAGAAGACACATGAAAGTCATCAGAACATAGTTGTAGAATCACAGTGAATATAATGGTTGCAAATGTAGACTGAAGTGTTGGGTTACCGGGACTCGAGGGGTTTTCCCACTGCAGCCATGCTTTCCAAAATGGTTCCCCTCTCTTGGTAAAGTTCTAAACAAAGCAAGTATATAATTCCCTTGATTGTAGCTGCTTCACTGGAAGATTCAGCACTTCAGTAAAGCCCTGCAAAATAGTTTTTGGTTTATTTATTTTTAAAGATTTATTATTACTGGCCTCCCCGGTGGTGCAGCAGGTTGAGTACCGCCCTATGATGCTGTCCGCAACCTCTGCAACGCTGGTTCGATTCCTGGCCGGCCAGGGAGAAACCCACATGGCGCAGCAGACCACTTCTGCCTTGCCTGCTGTTCCCCTCAGAACAGTCCTTCTGCCTGTTCTGCTTCCTACTCTGTCTCTGGTGAATTCTCTCACCCTCCTGTGCCTCTGACAGTACCCCAGTTCTTGTATAAATAAATAAATCTTTAAAAAAAGATTTATTATTATTTATTTATGCATACAAGAACTGGGGTGTATGCCAGAGGTGGGGGGTGAGAGTGTTCACCAGAGAACAGAGTGGGTAGCAGAATAGGCGGATTGACTGAAACACACTGTTGAGGGGAGCAGCAGGTAAGACAGGAGAGGTCTGCTGTGCCATGTGGGTCAGCTCCCTGGCCAGGGATGGAACTCAAGCTGCAGTGGCTCATAGCTTGATAGTGCTGAAACTTTAACCCCTGCACTGCCAGGGAGGCCCTAGTTTTTGGTTTATATGTAAAGCATAGTCACGTTCTAGGGTTTGGTCATTATAAATAGGGCTTTCACCTATATTGCTAACTAATAGGACTTGGGAAAGTTATTCAGGACATAGGACAAGTCTATGTTCTATGGGACTGTCCAGTCCTGGGGGATATCTAGCATCCCTGTCCTCATCCCACCCACAGATACAAGTAGTGTCCCCATCCCCCATATTTGTGAAATTCTTCGCCACAAGTGGTGCTGGAGGCCCTGGATATTCATAGGAAACAACAAACCTGATTTAAGTCTCAAAGAGTATACAAAACTAACTCAAAGTGTAAATGTAAAACAAAAAGTATGGGTAAAATGTGAAAATGTGAAACTTTTAGAAGAATAAATATAGGCGAGAAAACTCTTTGGGACTCATGGCCAAGTGAAGCTTCTTAGACTTCACACTGACATTCAATCCAGAAAAGAGAAAGGAAAAAAAGTGAATAAGTTGGACTCCTTTCTTTCCTGTGAAAGACCCCATTAGGAGAGTGAAAAGACAACTATAGATTTGGAGAAAATATTGCAACGAGACTGCTATGTACAACACATTGCGAATGCTCAAAACTCAGTAGTCAAACAAACAATTCAGTTAGAACATGGGCAAAAGACACAAAGACTTTTCACTGAAGAGGATTTACATATGGTAAATAAGCACATGAAAAGATGCTCACCATCATTATCCATTAGGGGTGTGCAAATTAAACTACAGTGATATGTCACTGCACATGTGTGAGAATGATGGAAAATAAAAAATAGCAGTAACGCCAAATGGCACAAAGAGGAGAAACTGATCATGCATACTTTGTTGGTGGGGATGTACAATGGTGCAGCTCCTCTGGAAGTTTCTTTTTTTTTTTTTTTAAAGATTTATTTATTTATGCATACAAGAACGGGGGTACAGGCCAGAGGTGCCAGAGGTGAGAGGACTCACCAGAGACAGAGTGGGGAATAGAACAGGCAGATCGAACTGAAATACACTACTGAGGGGAGCAGCGGGCGAGACAGGAGAGGTCTGCTGCACCATATGGGTTGCTCCCTGGATGGGGATTGAACTTGTGCTGCAGTGGCTGCGAATAGTGTCATAGGTTGCGTCTTAACCCCTTGCGCCACCAGGGAGGCCCTCCTCTGGAAGTTTCTAATGAAACTAACACACAGTTGCCAAATGACCCAACAATTGCATTCTTGGGCATTTATTCCAGGAAGATGAAAACTTAGGGTCACATAAAAACCAGTGCCTGAATGTTCATAGCAGCCTTATTCATAATGCCCTGAGACTAGAAGTGATCCAGATGTCCTTTAATGGGTGAATGGTTAAACAAACTATGGTACACCCTTACCATGGGATACTATTCAGCAATGAAAAGGAAAGAGTTATGCATATACTCACTATCTGGGATGGATCTCTAGAGATTATGGTGATTGAAAAACCCAATTGCACAAGTTACAAACTGTGTGATTCCATTTATATAATATTCTGGGAATGACAAGGATAGAACTGGAGAACAGATTAGTGATTGCCAGTGGTTAGAAATGGGGAGGAGGATTGGAAGAGAGGCTGGAGGAGGGAGATAGGGTGGCTGTAAAAGTCAATGAAAGAGATCCTTGTGGTCACCGAAATGCTGTTTCTTGTCTCTCTTAATGTCCACATGCCCTTCTTGGCAATGCACAATGCCGCCTTTGGGAGAAAATGGGTTAAGGGTACAGAGAATTTCTCTGTATTATTTCTGAAAACTGCATGTGAACCTGAATTTCTCTCAAAATAAAAAGCTTAGGGCCTCCCCGGTGGCGCAGTGGTTGAGCGCTGGGTTGCGAAGCTGCCCGTGGTCTCTGTGGCGCTGGTTCGATCCCTGGGTGCTCCCCAGCCACCAGAGGAGGGTCCCACATGGCGCGCAGACCTCTCCTGCCGCCCGCTGCTCCCCTCAGCAGTGTACCTCGGTCCTTCTGCCTGCTCTGCTCCCCGCTCTGGCTCTGGTGAATTCTCTCACCCTCCCGCGCTTCTGACTGTACCCAGTGCATGTATAAACAAACAAACAAACAAATAAATAAAACATGCCTCTATTAAAAAAATTAAAAAAAAATTACTAGACATGAGAAAAATAATATTTAAAAAAAATAAAAAGCTTAATTAAAAGAGGAGATAGAGCAGGAGTACTACCACTAAGAAAATAAGTACTCATTATTAAAGCTACAAATCTTCCTAAGTGAGTTCAGTTTACAAATCTTATAATTTTTGTAAACACTTGTAGGGGCATTTTGGAACTTGGTTAATTAAATTCCCTTAGACTTTTTTTTTTTTTTTTTAAGATTTATTTATTTTTATACAAGAGCTGGGGTATAGACCAGAGGCGCGGGAGGGTGAGAGGATTCACTAGAGACAGAGTGGGGAGCAGAACAGGCAGACAGACCGAAAGCACTGCTGAGGGGAGCAGCGGGCGTGACAGGAGAGATCTGCCCTGCCATATTGTTTTTTTTTTTTTTTTTTTTTTAAAAGATTTATTTATTTATACAAGCACTGGTACAGTCAGAAGCGCTGGAGGGTGAGAGAATTCACCAGAGCAGGGAGCAGAACAGGCAGAAGGACCGAAGTACACCGCTGAGGGGAGCAGCAGGCAGCAGGAGAGGTCTGCGCACCATGTGGGACCCTCCTCCGGTGGCCGGGGGAGCAGCCGGGGATCGAACCTGCACCGCAGAGGCTGCGGGCAGCTTCGCAACCCAGCGCTCAACCGCTGCACCACCGGGGAGGCCCTGCCCTGCCATATTGTAATCTCCCTGGCCGGCCGGGAATTGAACCCGCACTGCAGCAGCAGCAGACAGCTTCACAGCGCTGTGCTCAAACCACTGTGCCAATGGGAAGTCCCCCCCTCTAGACTTTTTAAACCACATTTCAGTTTTTAATATATTCAATTTCATTTTCTTTTTTTAAAAAAAGATTTATTTTATTTGTGCATACAAGAGTTGAGGTGTAGGCCAGAGCTGTGGGGGGTGAGAGGACTCACCAGAGACAGAGTGGGGAACAGAACAGGCAGATCTATTGAAATACACTGCTGAGGGGAGCAGCGGGTGAGACAGGAGAGGTCTGCTACGCCATGTGTGTTAGCTCCCTGGCTGGCTGGGAATGGAACTCATGCTGCTGTGGCTGGCCATAGCTTGATAGTGCTGAGACTTAACCCCTGTGCCACCAAAAAGGCCCCCAATTTCATTTTCAAATAATTGTCTGATTAACAAAATCTATTGAATATTTAAATGATTTTTGTACATCTAATGAATAAACTTCTAAATATAGGTTAATCTTATATTCCTTAAAAGCTTTGGTAATTTGGGCCTCCCTGGTGGTTAAGACACAACCTATGAAGCTATCTGCAGCCACTACAGCACGAGTTCAATCCCAGCTGTCCAGGGAGCAACCCATATGGTGCAGCAGACCTCTCCTGACTTGCCCGCTGCTCCCCTCAGCTGTGTACTTTGGTCAGTCTGCCTGTTCTGTTCCCCACTCTGTCTCTGGTGAATCCTCTCACCCCCCTCACCTTCTGGCCTGTGCCCCAGCTCTTGTATGCATAAATAAATAAATCTTACAAAAAAAAGTTTCAGTAATTTATACACAAATTTAATAAGAGTGCCTTATATGTTTCAACTTAAATCTACATAAAAATCTCATTTACACATTGAAAGCTAAAACTACACATTAAGGGCCTCCCCAGTGGTGCAGCAGTTGAGCACTGGGCTGCGAAGCTGCCCGCAGCCTCTGCAGCACCGGTTCGATCCCAGGCCACTGGCGAGGGTCCCACATGGCGCGCAGACCTCTCCTGCCGCCCGCTGCTCCCCTCAGCAGTGTGTTTCGGTCCTTCTGCCTGCTCTGCTCCCTGCTCTGGCTCTGGTGAATTCTCGCACCCTCTTGCACTTCTGACTGTACCCAGTGCTTGTATAAATAAATAAATAAATCTTTAAAAAAAAAAACAAAAGAAACCCTACACATTAATCTACAAATTCTCTTAAACAATTTAATTAAATACCAGATAGATACAGGTTATTCATAAATTGAACATAGAATTATGTTAATTTACTTCTTCACCTCAACACTTATTATGAAAATTTCCCAGGGTCAAGGATGTAAATCTACTAAAGAAATATATTTTTCTGAAATAAACTGGGTTGCTGTGTGTGGTTAGGGGCTTGTAGTTGCAGTCTTTTGGGTGATTTGTCTTAGGAAGGCTGAGAAGATGCAAGTGCGCTAAGGACACACTGTTCAAATACCTTATTCTGATAGAATTATCTCCAGGGGCCTCCCTGGTGGCGCAGGGGGTTAAGCACAGCGCTATGAAGCTGTCCACAGCCTCTGCAGCGTGAGTTGGTATCCCTGGCCTGCCAGGGAGCTACCCACATGGCGCAGCAGACCTCTCCTGACTCCCCTGCTGCTCCCCTCAGCAGTGGACTTCAATCAATCCACCTGTTCTGCTCTCCACTCTGTCTCTGGTGGGTCCTCTTGCCCCGCTGTACCTCTGGCCTGTGCCCCAGTTCTTGTATGCATAAATAAATCTTTAAAAAAAAGAATTATTTCCATATTGTCCAATTCTGGCAGGACCACAGCTTTTATGAGGGACAGAGCGGTCATGTGATCTGCCCATGGTTATCCAGCTAGTAGAAGGCAGAGCCTAGGTTCAGACCCAGGCTGTCTGGCTCATAGTTCTTGCTCTTGAGCCCTATCCCATCTACCCTTGCCACTGATCAGGTGCGGGGAGAGCAGGGATCTGAACTCAGGCCTGCCACACTCTGGTCTTGCTGTTCCACATTGCACCAGCCACTGGCAAGACAAGAAACGTGGATATTCCTGCTCTGGATGAGTTGATACTGGGGGTGCCTGGCTCTGCTCCCCTTTTCCTTGCCTCTTCTCATCCCCACAGCCCTTGCTTTCCCCAGGGCTTCTCTGTCCCTCCTATTGGCCCAGAGTGAGGCCCAGGAGCTTGGTGATGATGGTTGTGTTTCAACCTCTGCTCGGTGTGACACATGAGTAGCCATGAGTGGTTGGCATTGGGGCCTGTGTCATCTTGTGGATGGTGTGTCCCCTGGGACCTGACTCCAGGCCTACCACTGCTCTCACTCTCTCCCTGCTCTTCCCTGTGCTCTAGGGTTGCATTCCAAGCCCAGCTTGTTGAGGCCGAACCAAAAGAGGAATTCACGAGATAAGGTGGACCCTACGGAGATGCAGGCCAGAATCCGGCTGATGAGAGTATGAGAAGCTGCTTCCCACAGGCCCTGGACCCAGGAGTACAGCAAACATACACAGAGCTCTCCAGGGGTGCCTGACTTCTTCGTTTCCTCCTGCCTCCTGGCAGCAGTCCTGTGGGCACACTTATCCCTGTTTTACAGATGGGGATACTGAGGTGCAGGGAGATAAATGATTTGTACCTGTTCATACAGCCAGAAAGTGGTCGGTGCCAGGGTTCAGAACTAGTTAAGCAAAGTGTTTGCTGTTGCATTTAAGACTAAGAAAAATGATCAGAATCACTTTTTATTTTACTGCATTAGAAACAGTCTAGTGGCTTGTTCATTTTAAAATTTCCAGTAAATTAACCTTTCATGGAATGCAGTGCATCTTGAAGCAAGGCTTATTAGAAGCTTACTATTAGTTTTTCATACCAGTTGGTACAATTTTAGAAAATTAATTTTCTCACCATCCATTGTTTTCATGGTTCCTGTTATTGTGTGAAAGTTTCAGAGTATTTGAAATGATTAAAGAAGAGAGGTCTTTAACATCCGTAGCAGAAAGTAAAATAATAAACATTTCTATGTAAGTATTACATAGAAATATGGAATAATTCTGGACTTCTCAAGGAAGTTTTTTTTTTTTAAGATTTATTTATTTATGCATGCAAGAACTGGGGCATAGGCCAGAGGTGAGGGAAATGAGAGGATTTACCAGAGACAGAGTGGGAAGCAGAACAGGCAGACTGACTGAAACACACTGCTGAGGGGAGCAGTAGGCGAGTCAGGAGAGGTCTGATTCTCCATGTGGGTTGCTCTCTGGCCAGCCCAGGATAAAACTCATGCTGCAGAGGCTGCGGATAGCTTCATAGGTTGCGTCTTAACCCCTGCACCACCAGGGAGGCCCTCAAGGAAGTTTT